CGTGGCGAAGTCCGGATCAGACTCATATGCCCGGATGAAGTGTCGCTGAAGCTCCTCGTCGAATGCGAAGGCATGATGTGTCATAGCGCAAAGATCGGGTCTTCGCGAGAGTGCATCTGCTGCGCGATTGGAGAGGCCGGGGACATGTTTCGGTGTGAAGTCAAATTGGTCGATGAAGTACATCCATCGCCCGATCGTGCTGCTCACTGTGTCCTGCGTCTTGTAGTAGGTCAATTGATTGTTGTCCGTGACCCATGTGAACCTACGACGCCCAAGGAGGAAGTGTCGCTAGCGCTGGAAAGCCATCACGAATGCGAGCAACTCCTTCCTTGCATCATCACGCGAGTTGATGGGAGACACTTTGTGGCTGAAATACTCCACAGGGTGCCAGTCGTCGCCGTCGTGCTGTTCCGAGACTGCCCCAATGCCATAGCCGGAAGCGTTTGTAGTCACTCGCGCCGGCAGGGTGGGGTCATAGATGCTAAGGACGGGTGCCATGAGCATAGCCGTCTTAAGTGCTTGGAATGACCAGCGTGCGTTGTCATCGAATACGAATGGCACCTTTGGCGACTRTAACCTCGTCATAGGTGCAGCAATCATGGAGTATCCGGTGATGAATCGCTGATAGTAGCCCGCCAACCCCATGAATGAACGAACGTCCGTGGTGTTGGTGGGCTCGGGCCATACTCGTAGGGCCTCGATCTTGTCCGCAAGCGGACGGATGCCTTGCGGCGTCACATAGTGTCCCAAGTACTCCAGCTCCTGCTCTGCGAAATCGCACTTGTCGCGGTTTGCTTTGTACTTGGCCTGTCGTAGCCGCTCCAAAACGGTGCGCAGGTGATCCACATGCTTGTCCAGACTCCGACTGTAGACTAGAATGTCGTCGAGGTAGATCAGTACGAAACGATCCATCATGTGTCGGAACTCCGTTGCCACAACCGCTTGGAAAGTGGCTGGGGCATTCGTAAGGCCAAATGGCATGACCATCCATTCGAAATGCCCATATCGCGTCTTAAACGTGGTCTTGTAGCGATCCTCCTTGCGAATCTCGAGTTGGTGATATCCCGACTTGAGATCGAGCTTGGAGAAGAACTTGGCGCCGCCCAGTCGCTCGAGAAGATCGTCGATGCCTGGGAGATGGTCAGCGTTCCTGATTGTCTGCGCGTTGAGCTTGCGACAATCGATGCACAACCGCAGGTCCTTGTTCTTCTTCCGGACGAAGAGAACAGGAGCACCGTATGGCGATGAGCTAGGAGCTAGGCCGAATCCAGCCTTTCTCTAGAAGATCGTCGAGTTGTGCATGGAGCACACTTAACTCTTCCTCGCTCATTCGGTAGATGCAACGGCGCGGAGGCACGGCCCCGTCCTCGAGGATGATCTCGTGGCGGATGGGTCGATCCGGTACTACTCCGTGCGGGCCTTCGAACACGTCGCTGTAGGCGTCGAGAAGTTCGGTGATGCATGGATTCGAAGATGAGTCCGTCGATGAAGCGTCTCGGGGCGGGAGGGCGTGGAGAAAACACACCCCCATCTCCTCGATGTCGTCTCTGATGATGGATGCTCGCATGCTTGCGGCGGATACCACGTGGCGGCTGATCGAAGGATGAGGAAGAGGTACCGTGCATGGAACTAGTACTCCGTTCCGATCACGAATGTGAACGGTGCGGTGGAGGAAGTTCACCGGGTGATCCTCGCTTCGCAGCCATGACATGCCCAAGATCATGTCGAAGTTGGTGTCCAGAATGTCGAAGGACACCGCCTCACTTGCGTGAGGGGCAAAGTACACTGGGACGTCGTCGATGCACCGGTCGATTGACTTGTGCGTGCGACCGTCCGCCAACGTGACTTGCGTAGGCTGGGACTTCCTCCGGACGCGTGGGCCAAGGCCAGCGCGGACCATGAAGTCCTGGGGGATGTAGTTGCGAGTAGCTCCGCAATCGATCAAGGCGCTGCAGGTCACCTCTCCGATCTGAATGCGTACGTATAACAATGGTGCGTTGACGTCGTCGTACTGTTGCATCTTGAACTCGCGGTCGATCTTCGCAATGTAGGCGTGAAGGTCGACAACCTCTACTCCGGCGTCCATCAACGGAGTGGGTACTGCAGTGTGCAAGTAATCTCGCAGTTGTGCCATGAGCACATTGCAATGCGGTTTCGACAATCGTTCGGTCAGGGGAACGGGCATCCACTGGAAGTGTGGAACGTCAGTGGGTCGAGCACCTCAAGTCTTGACCACGACGATGAATCCCCGACGATAGATAGCGGCGAAGCTGCCGAATCGGTTGCCGATGGTGATGAAACCGTGCATGCGGTAGATTGTTGCACGTGGAGTGGTTGGTCCAGCGGTGGGACCAAGTGGACAGCATAATCCTCGTAATTGTACCGAGGACTTGCGACATGCGCATCCTCCCCAAATGTGTAGGAGGCCGCTAGCAAGGCGGCCAAATCTGGCGGAGTGAGAGGTGGAGTCGCCTCACCTCCTGCGCAACTCAGTTTCCTGAGTTAAGACGAGGCCGCACCTCCTCCTTGGCCTGATCTTGGCAAATGGAGGTCTTGTGCTTGGTGCTGTTGCACCAGTAACAGCAGCCGTAACGGTTGTGGTACTTGTACTCGGCCTCGGTCAAGCCGAACTTGACCCATGGTGGTGCTGGCTGTCCGTTTTCGGCCTGCGATGCTGGTTTCGCCTTCCCGTTCACTCGGGGCTTGTTGCTTCGCGGCTGGATAGCAGCCACCTGATCTCCCTCACGTGATGCTGGAGTGGCTGCTGGGTCTTCTCCACTGTCCAATTGGACTGCAGCGAACTGCTGCTGTCGCGGACCAGTTCGTACCTTCTCCACATAGGTTGGCTGCCACGTTGACTTCTCGTGTGCGGCCGCCCTGTTGGTCTTGATGATCTCTCTCGCCTTGTTGATGATCTCTGCGAAAGTGTTGTACTGCTCGCGATCACCAAGTGCGAGGCTAAGAGAGGCGCATGACCTGTTGTAGAACTCACGGCGCAGATGCGGAAATGGCAAGTCCAGATCGGGCGTGGCCACGATCTTCTGCCAATCCGTGAGCCAGTCACGTGTCGGTGTGCTCTCTTGAGCCATTGCGAAGATGCGGTTGATGGCGAGCGCGGGTGCGTCATCCACTATGAACCGCTTCTTCCATTCCTTTGTCATATCCTCCCAGGTGACCTTCTTATGCAGGTCTGAAACCTGGACGCCGTGGATGGTTGCCATGTGGCTGAGCCAGATCTGACATCCTCCCTTGGTGTTGATGAATAGAGCACTGATGAACAGATGGTCAGGGACCTCGTGGATCCCCAACTCCGTTGTAAATCCTTGCCACCAGACGACCGGGTCTTGATGTGTGTAGTCATCAAATTTCTCGATCCGGAACGTCGGCATCTTGTATGGCCTTGCCGAGCTGTTGTTGTGGCTGTGGTCGGTCGACTGTTGCTGACTAACCTTAGTGTCCAGCAACTCGAACCGCTGGCTGATGGTGGCCGGCTCTGTGAAGGCACTTATGTCTCCTAGCATTGCCACTACGTGGTCAACGCGTTCCTCCAGTTGGCGGCTAGAGGATGCACTGCTGGAAGCCCCAACATCTGGTCCTGGGACAGCCTGTTCCAGGTCCAGTACACGGGCATCCAGTGCCCGTGTGGCATCCTCGTGCTGAGTCTTATGGTTCCGCACGGCCCGCTGGAGGTTCGCCAGCTCGGACTGTAGGTGGTTACAAGTATAAACCAACCTGGTCACGAGCTTGGCCATGAACTCCTTATGCTTCTCTTCCGGTGTTGGTTCGTCGCTGTTCGGTTCAAAGTGCCAGAACTTGAGTCTGTCGATGTTGCTGGCTTCATGCCGCTGCAGCAGATCCTGGGCTTCCTTGCGGCGAGCCTGGGCATCTGCGTCAGCTTCTGCCTGTAGCCGAATCTTCTCTGCTGTTGCCTCTTCTTCAGCCTGTAGCTGGGTAGCCTTGACTGCCAGCTGGCGTTGTTCCTCAGCCTCGATTGCAGCGAGCTGAGCCTGGAAGCGCTTTTTGTAGTCGGCAATGGGCTCATTGGCCAATTGGCCTGGCAGGCCCGTCATGTTGCTGACGTGGCACTGCTTACGTGGCACTGCTCATGTGGCACTGCTCATGTGGCACTGTCTGACGTGTCACTGTACCAACCCGAAAATGCATGCAAAGGGTGGGTGGGAGGGAACACGCAGGTAGGAAACCAACCCAACAAT